TTCTCCTCACGAGGGAAAAATCGAGAAAAATTTTTTTCAGCTCCTCCATCTCGTTTACTTTATTAGGTCGTATTTTATATCTGGTATCGAAAGTAAAAGATCTTAGCGGGGTCCTCGTTCCCCCTGAGATCTCTATTTTAAGTGATGTCCCCCAAGGTACGTTCTCATTTATTTGTTTTATATTATTTATATTTTACCGACAGTTAAAGATAGCAGATGCGTGTACTCCTTCTGTAACTCTACGACCGAATGATGCTTGGAAGAAATCTACTCGGAATCGCACGCTCTTTCTGCGTGGAGTCCATCATGGTTAACGGAATTCTCATATTCTAAGTGCCGCTACATACGTTTTGGGCCTGAAAGACTACCACAACCAATTATTTTTAAAGTAAGTCAGATGATTGAATGTCTCAACATCAAGGTCTTCGGTTTAAGCTGCACCTATAAATCAGATCTATCGCCTCAAACCGACAGAATACGAGCCAAAGCTGCCCAGAGTTGCAGCAGCCTATAAGCCATACCTTCCTGAAATTAAGTGGAGATTTTATTATATGTTTGCATTCCCCATTCATTAATGCTACTGCCCATTCTTTGGTTTAATGAACAAGTCTAGTTGTTCAAAAATTGAAAATTTCCAAAGACGTTTTACTACTAAACTCTTGTATCCGACACTTTCAACTACCTCCTACTCAAGCAGATGCCACTTAACAAAGCTAAACGTTCGTTGGGTTCGGCGACTGCAAGCAGGATTTTGTCTCTTTTTTCGTCTGAATAAGATTCCAAACCTCCCTAGAATTTCTGTCCTTATTCCCCCCCTTAGCCTTTGACATGATCTTCGTAAGTCCGCATTTCTTATTGCTCCTCCAGCATCCTCCATTTGAAAACACTCTCTATTCTTTGCTTTTAAGTATAGATTTATTCGGGATAACCTGTTTATTGAAATTAGGATGTTAACTACTCTTCCTGCTTTCAAGCGAAGACGGAGCATTTGTTTTAACGCGGATTTAATGAACATTTTATTCCTCTCATCTTTTCGAGCAGCTTTCTCCATGAATTTGAGTAAGAACCATCGGGACTTCAGGAAACTGTCTTCGAATTCAAATCACGGTCCCTTGCCTTGTGTCCCACAAGAACCACGGCATCCCTATAAGCCACCCTCATTCAACTAAAGAAATTCATATGGACACACGCGGTTTAAAGTGTTCTGGTTTCTTCTGCTGCATACCATCATCAGAATTTCAATCGGGATGATAAGATGTCTCGGTCATAAGTCAAGTGACGCTTTTCGCGAATTATCATACGTGCTCGCGCTTTTGACCACCATGTATTAACGTTTCATATTCACCTTCTGAACCGCCGTTATATTATCAACCTACTCTTCTCCTTCATAGCTTTTCGCAAAGCTGTTTTTTCTCTAGTGTTTTTGAAGGTGGGACTTGCTGAAATCTGCCTCTACTTTCATCATATGAATTTTTTGCACTGCTTCTTTGTTAGTTCATAAGCATTTGCTACTGTTCTAAAAGGACGAATAGCCGGCGGATGTGAAATACTCTGCCTACAATATTGTAGTGGGGCAAGGATGTTGAGGTTAGCACACACTTGAAGGAGATATTCATTTGTATAGGGCTCCGAATGTAACGCCGAACGAGGTCGTTAAACACCACAACACTCAAATGTATGAGGAGGTAGAAGGAAAACAAGATAGTGAGAAATAAGATCTCTTGACAAAAAATGATGGTAAACAATAAAGAGGGAAGAGGGGAGAAACGATACGGGAATTTACCAAGAGGCTGTACAAATGATCCATTTGGAGTGAGGGGCGATCAAATAATCTCAGTATGATATCGGTGGGGAATGCAACACTGTCGGCAACTGCGGGCGAGGGCCGTGATGGTGCTGACGGCGAGGAGACGACGATATGGTACGATACGATGCGAGAGGGGAGTAATGTCAGCGAAGGGAGGGAGAAAGAACGCCGGCATCTTCAACAACAGACGTTCACACCATCCTCATCCGGATCCGCGCCATAAGTGACCTTTGTACGTTCAAACACCCATGGTTCGGGTTGGTTCGTTACAATATTATTCATTTTTGTTGTATATCTGCCCACTCTCTTAGAGCACCAGTGTGCAAATCATCGTCATTTTACCTCAGTATTCAGTCCGTTTTGATAGTGCACACTGGGCATTGAAGATATAAAAAGTTACTTATTCATGTATTTGCTAGAAATCCGAGTAGTTACTGTTTTTCATCACACATTTTTTACTTCAGCTGTTAAGATGAATACAGTAATATTTTACCAGATTTATGTCCACTTCTGGTTCTGGTCAAGTGTTCCTGCCTTCTTTGTCTCCTTTTCCTTTTTTCTGGCAGGGCATTCTGTAATTCCTCCAGGTCGTCCACAATCGTTTAGGAAACATTATTTAAAAAAACGGTTGATTTCATGCTTTATGCATTTAGTGTAATCGAGCAGCATTCGCTGTCTGAAAGAGCGGCGTGTCAGTCTTCATTTGCGCTATTCCAATTCATTTCTGGGAAGGGCGCTTCCTCTTGTAGCCTACAGTACAAGAGTTTTCAAACATTATTCACTGTTTCTTATATAATGCATATGGCGAGTGCTCCACATAGCATTTACCCGCGTCCTAGCTCTCACACGTGGCTCCTCGAAGCTAAATTCTGTCTACTAGTCACACTTTGGCAACCGCCTTTACCACTGGACCTAACCAGGTGAAGATAATAGGCACTATGTTTGTCTCTACACCCTGCATTTATGCTCCCCTTCCCAACATTTTTTCGTTCTCCTTAGCTTTTTGGAAAATCATGCGGGAGGCCGAGATGCCACCCCGTAAGCGGTCCAGGCTAAGTCGGGTTGTGCTGCCAACAAACCAAACCATGTTTCCCATTGAATTTTGTCAGCGTTTTGAAATTTATAAGCAGCCGTTTTTAAGGACAGCACTGTTCCTCCACTTGTGGAGAAATAGACTAGAAAAGTTGCCCTATACAAATGCTGGAATCACGTTCTGTGCATGCATGCCGTGGCTCGTAGATTAAACACTCGCGAGCGAAATGGTCAAATAAATGACAACAGAAACCACGTCCCATGCCCCCGGGCTGCTCGTATGCGTCCGCTCACTCTAGCAGTCTTAAATGTTCGTTCTCGTTGAAACAAATTGGAAAAGCAACTAGCCGGAAAGAGGAATTACATTATTTGCCAGAGAACTGGCACCTGCGATCCATTTCCTCTAATGACGAGCTCCGACGAAACGAAAAACGAATTATGCTAGGACCTGCATGTCCTTCTAGCGTTTGTGCTGAAGGCGGACCAACTGATTGCCCTTGATGTCTTTAACACCCGCCTTGGGACAGATCACGCTACCACGGAGAGAGCACTGGGCATCCACAGCCTTGGCAGCTGTAATTCTTATAACCTTTTTATTTTGTGAACCTGTGCTAAACATCGCCTCCTGCCGACCAACATCTAATTTCGCCTCCTGGCACGGGAGAAAGCAACGTTGATGCATCTCACTTTGCGGCACCGGCCGCTGTTGGACTACGTTCTCGGCCAGAGACGCGATCGACAGGATGAATAGGGGATTAAGGCAATCCACGACGTCTATGACTAGACGGATCGCAATATCGCGATTCCTAAGGTGCGGTTCTGAATTAAACCCCACAGAATGTCACAAGGTAAGGAACCACCGGCTTTGTTGGGTTTTTCTGATCGCCATCTACATTTCAGTTTTGAACTGAACCAGCGACTGGAAGATCTGCAAACTGCAGTGGAGACTCTATGGTAACAACCGCGGAATACTGTCCACTCTATGCACATCTTCGGCACCATAAGTGCTCTAGCAAGAAAGAAATTAGTGAAAAGAGCCTACAGGTGCCGCCGATTGATGCAAATAAAGTGCTTTTACCAATGTCCTCGTCTTGGACAGCAACAGTTATGGCAAAAATGACGTATGGATTGTTCGCCAGACCGAGGAGATTCACGGGTATGCAGACTGCCATGAGCTGAAGAACTTATTCGCAGCGATTTAGGATGCCCGCAGTCTTAAGCCTAAAGGAGCAGCTCCGCTTTTCAGAACCAACGGTTACACGCTTATAACGCAGAAATTGCAGCTTCGGAAGCATTCGGTCGATCTCTTTACAAGTGTCCTCAACCCCTATCGTCAACTCCCGACGCCCCCACTGACCAGCTTCCTGAAATGGAAATCAACCTCTACCTAGATCTCTCTCTTCCAGACACCATCAGTGCTATGCCAAAGCTATCCAGTAAGAAAATATCCGGCTAAAACGCGATTCCCGTTAAAATCAACAAGCACGGCAGCCATCGACTGATGCACCGACAGTGGTGGCAAGGACGGGTCTCTCAGAACTTCAAGGGTGCCACAATCGCCCACCTCAACAGAAACAAAGGGACGTGAGAACTCTGTGATTAACACAGAGATAAATTATTTCTCAATACCGCCTCTTTAATAGTCTCATTGATAATCTAGAATAATAAATACCCCCGAAAAGCCAGTGTGGCTTCCATCGACACAGCGGCACCACCGACATAGTCTTCACAAACCGCCAGTTACAGGAAAAATGTCATGAGACGCAATCTCATCTGTACATGATGTTTGCCGAATTGTCGAAAGCCATTGTCATTGTGAATTGCCTTGGACCGTAGAAAATAATGCAGAAATTCAGCTCTCTTATGGGATTCGCGTAAATGGTGCGTCAGCTCCGCAACGGGACAATGACAACACGACGACCCTCGAGTACTCCCGCTGACCAAGGGAGCGAGTCAGAACTGCGTATGCGCGTCCACCTCCTTCAGTCTCATAGCCCCTTCCTTGTTGGCGGACACCTGACGCCGACATCACCAACGGGATTGATGGGTATGATCTAAGTAGCCGGCCCTACCGCCTGTATCGTTGACTACAGTTAACCAGCTGACCTCTGCGGACATCTGTGCCCTCCACACTGCAGTGAACGAGAACATAAAAAGAAGCATGCACCACCTCGTTACCGCCTGTGGAAAATTTGGAATGACCATCAATACGGACAAAACGGTGGTAATGTACAAATTACCGACTAACACTGTCTAAAATGCTTCGCGCAGCAACAATAACGGCACCAAATGTAAGTCATGGAAAAAGTCTACTAAGGTAGCATCCTCTCTCGCAACATAAAAATTGATGACAAAGTGGCACGTTGTATCTCTGAAGCCAGTCAGACCTCTGATTAGTTGAAAAACTCCCTGTGCAATCGACATGGTCTCCACCTCAACACCAAGCTCAACAAGTAAAAAATGCTGTCGTTAAAAAATCCCAAAGTTCCGATGGTAGCACACGATTCCAGATACAGAAGTTCTGGAACAAACCAGAATCCTCAGCCTCCAGGCCACGCTAAAGCAACTGCAGCAACGCTGGAGCGATTGTCTCGTGCGGGTAGACAACGTGCG